TACTTATCGCCCTTCTTACAGACTGTAGTACTTATTTGCCTTGGTCCCCACTTGTATCACCTATCTTCCCATTAGTTACACTAACCACACTGCTTCCCACCAGTTGAACTCATCATCTTGTTCTCAAAGATTTGTGCTAAGTGCCTACTCCCCGCCGTTTACCACCAAAGTCTTTCTCGCCTCCAGCTCCCCTCATTATCTTGCTCAAGTAAATTATATTAAAAAAAATAGCAAAGACATTGGCTGCTCCCCTCTGTTGCATTGCTCAGTTGAAAAGTGGTTTAAAGATACTTCCAGTCCCATTTGCAATGGACTGAAGGGGATTATAAACAGAGTAGAGGCTGCTCAAGTCACCCCATGTCTTCCTGCAGCCCACGTGTAGTTGAATTGAGGGTATAATAAGCCAGTTTGATGCTTACCACTAGCCTCCATTACCCATCCCCTCAGCCTTGAGATCGGGGGTTAATGTAATCACTGGGATCAATGCAGTTTAAAGGACCACTATAGGCACCCAGACCACTTCAGCTTAATGAAGTGGTCTGGGTGCCTGGTCCAGCTAGGGTTAACCCATTTTTTCATAAACATAGTAGTTTCAGAGAAACTGCTATGTTTATAAATGGGTTAAGCCTTCCCCTATTTCCTATAGCAGCTGTCTCATTGACAGCCGCTAGAGGCGCTTGCGTGATTCTCACTGTGATTTTCACAGTGAGAGCACGCCAGCGTCCATACGAAAGCATTGTGAATGCTTTCCTATGTGACCGGCTGAATGCGCGCGCAGCTCTTGCCGCGCGTGCGCATTCAGCCGATGGGGAGGAGAAGAGGAGGAGGATCGGAGGAGGAGAGCTCCCCACCCGGCGCTGGAAAAAGGTACGTTTTAACCCCTTCCTCTCCCCAGAGCCGGGCGGGAGGGGGGACCTGAGGTTGGGGGCACCCTCAGGCCACTATAGTGCCAGGAAAACGAGTATGTTTTCCTGGCACTATAGTGGTCCTTTAATACAAGAAACTAAATTAACTCAGGGAGGTTTTGTTTGGATTCAGATGTGTCTGACGATTAACCCAATGTCAAACTGGTAAAATAAATTCTTGTTTTAGGGCTACAACACTTTACACGAGTATATTGCTACTCAAGGGCCATTGCCTGAGACCAGGAATGACTTCTGGAAGATGCTGCTTCAGCAGAAATCGCAGGTGGTCGTAATGTTGACTCAGTGTAACGAGAAGAGGAGGGTGCGTAATAACTGAAAATGGTATCCAGATGCCAGACTCTTTCTATGCATGATTAGGTCAATTCTATATTTTATCCATTTGGAGGAATCACCTTTTGTTTATTTTTAGTTTGTTTTGTAGAAAACTAAATGAATATGGTACTTATCCCACATAATATGATTTGAATTCTCTACATTCTTTATAGCCGGTCATGTGCCTTACAGTATATGGGGACTTTAAATTGTAAGCTTATGGACACAGGGACTTTACTTGTCAGTCTGTCCAGGTTTGCATCATGCGTCTTAGATGTATCAAATAAAGGCCCCCATCTAAATTTGTTTTCTAAATGAATCCATTCTATTGGAGACATTTTTCAAATTATTTATCTACAAAATTCCCCATAGACTTTACCGGTAACTTCTAGAGATAAATCATTTGGAAGGTCTTTCTAACCGTGTTGCATCACTTATAAAGCTTATTAAATCAAGGCCAAAATGTCAGTATTTGGAATCTAAAATAAATGATAAATTCCATTCTGGAACCTGGGCTAACAAGGGCTATATAGAAGGTAGGATGCTCTTAATTAAATGACTGACTGTAGAATAATTCACGTTTTACACAGCAATTACTATTTTTATTTTGGCTAATTGTAAAAACTCTAAAATTCTTAATTAATTTAAAAACCACATTCTACTTGTAAATTAAAAAGAATTAAAGAAATATCTCTCTCTTGTGGTTGATCCCTAAATGATTGTTAAAAATCTATGATTATTCCCATTGCAGATTAAATGTGATCATTACTGGCCGTTCACTGCCGAACCAGTGAGCTATGGTGACATTACGGTGGAGATGTTGTCAGAGGACGAGCAGTCAGATTGGGCCTATAGAGTATTTAGGATCTCATTTGTAAGTAGTAACTTTATCGGGTATGTACTTCTCAATGACTCTCCTGCTTTGATAATATTTCATGTTTAATACAGTACTATACACATGTGCTGATCTGTAAACCTGGTGTTCAGTACAAAGCATGTACTGGTGTCTTGGAACTCATTAACTGATTAAGATTTCAGTGAGTGAGAATATACAACTAGTGTACTGGAGATAGGATAGCCCTGGACAATATGCGGCCTGTAGGCCATCCAGGAAATCTCAGAGTTACAATATTCTAGGCTGAAAAAAGACTTCATTCCAAAGAATGTAACCTTGCAACACAATTGTTTTGCTGTTGATAAAACCAAAGTGAAAAAACAAATTTGAAGCAATGGCAAATTGTGCGTACATATCAATGATATACTTGCATATGCTGTTGTGCCATAAAAAAAGATTTTAAATACAATCTATAGAATCCATTAACACAACCTCTTTAGGCAGAGCATTTCACAATCGTTATTGTTCTCACTGTATACAGAACCTTTTCCTCTTTTTCCAGTCTCAGTGGGTGACCTGTTGTATATTCCTGCTAATGAACAGGTTAGCACATAGCGGGTTGTACTGACCATGTATATTGTTGTATAGTACCAAAATCTACTCCCTTTTTTATATAAAATAAAAATAAATAAAATTCAGTTTTTCTAGCCTTTTCTCATAACTGTTTTCCATTGCCCTTATTCATTTTGTAGCTCACTGGTGCACTTTTTCTAGTGCCATAATCTTTCTTTAAAACTGGTGCGATCTTGTGATCTTACCAGTGATCTATAAAAATGCCAAATTATATTTCCATCCCGTACATTAATACCCTTTTTTTTATACATGACCACAATATCTTTTGCAATGGTCAACTGACATTCAGTGGTGGCTTGTCCACATGGGCACTTAGTGCAGGGCCCACCAGATAAATATGTGCCAGGGGTAAATGAAAGGCAGTGTTTGAGGAAGGGTTAATATTGAAATTTCCATTATAAGTGGTAAACATACGCAATACAATTCTGCAGTGCTTTGATTTCCCCTCCCCCCGCCCCCCCCTTCCTCCTTAGCACACACTGACTTGTATGATAAAATTCAGTGAATGCTATCTGGAATTGTTGAGGGCAGCTGGGCATGTGTAGAGTTTTATAACATGACTTCATATTTTGCATTTAAATCTCTTTACTGAACTCCAGCAGAACAGATTTTAACAATAAAGTTTAACCAAATAAAAAAAAGAACACACTGTAAGAGGGTAAAAAAGGCCCTCACCACTCTAACTCCTCCTCTTTCTTTGCTGCTCCTGCGAAAGCACAGGTTTAGAGTATTTTTTCTTTGTGATTTTCTTTCAGTGTTTAGCTAATCTACTTATTCATTTGTCATATATTTGTGTGGTCTCATTACGTGATGCTGATTTTATTTATCCCCCACTACTGTCTTTTCAATACCTTATTTATACTTTCTTTCAGCCTTCCATATGGTCTCCTGCTTTTTCTCCAGCTCAGACCTGAGCCTGGGGCTTTCCTGGCGCTCTCACCCTCACTCTATTCTGTCTTTTTGTTACCTCTATTTAGAGCTTGCAAGTACACATATTCTGTGGGTGGTGGGGGCGCCCAGCGCTAGACTCATGATAGTTGGTGGGCCCGGGGACACTGTTATATTACTCATACATACAAATGTACTGGAACAGGGGCTGCCATCAGAAATTGTGGGGCCCCTGACACAGCTCAAGGTCTGGGCCCCTCTGGGGCCTGCCCGCAAGTCCGCTCAAAGAAATGCAGTGGGCATAGTGGATGCAGAGTGCGTGGGTAAAGTGGATAAGGTGTGTGTATTGGATGCAGATTGTACATTTGTGTAATGTATGAGGTGTATATGAGATGCAGAGTGTGTGTTTGTGTAGTGGATGTAGTGTTTGTGTGTATTAGATGCAGTGTGTATAGTGAATGTGTAGTGTGTGTTTGTGTAGTGCATGTAGTGTGTGCGTGTATTGTGAATAGTGAAGGCTGTTTGTGTGTATTAGATGCAGTGTGTATAGTGAATGTGGATTGTGTAGTGCATGTGGTGTGTGTGTATATAATGAATGCAGTGGATGTGGTGTGTGTGTGTGTGTGTGTATGTATATAGTGAATTCCGTGTGTGTTTGTGTAAGTATGTAATGTGTGTAAAATCGGTAGAGGAGATGGGGATTTGCATTTTTGTAACTTTTTTTTTTTTTTTTTTAATTTTTAACACTTGGGACCCTTCCATACCACCACACACAAAACCAAGTAAATGCTAGACCATGCAACAAACCACGCACAAACGTCCCGATCCGGGCCAAAGACGATGAGGCCCAATCTGGAAACACAAAGACCGAAAGGACCCTTAGCACTAAATCTGCCTCACTCATAGACTGATGACACGAGACACTCGACCGCACGGACAAATACCAGGACTAAGACGATAGCAAACTCAGAAACACAACCCTAGACCTAACTAAGAGGGTAATTAAAACACACCTCTGTAGTCTGCCCACTATAAAGTTAACTTCTACAGCCAAATATCATAAGCAACGGTATTAGGGACCTACGATCTCACATCTGAACGATATGACCATATGATACATCTTGCCACGAGACCTGCGAGTCTCCCTACCATTGAAGATTACACAGAGATTTGCATATCTCAATGTATACTAAGCACCTATGAGTATAAGAAACCTGCGAGTTTCATAACGTATATTAACTTATTGCATTTTACAACATGAAAAACCCATAATAAAGAAATTTACAAAAAAAATAAAAAAATTTTTAACACTTTATTTTAGTTCCCCCCCCTCCTGCTTACCTGGCCAGAGAGGGAGGAGATCACATTTCCTGGTTGTCTGGTTGCATGGTGCTTGGAGCCAGCAGCTGGACTCTGCAGAAGGGGGCCCGCAGCACACTCTCACTTCCCTTCCCAGCAGCTCCGCTGTCTAACTCTTGCGGCCGCGGGACTCGCAAGATTTAGACAGATGAGCTGAAGGGAGCTGCTTGGAAGGGAAAGGAGAGTGTGCTGTGGGCCCCCCTCTGCAACGATCAGGTAGCCAGGGGCCTGCAAGTACACATATATATATATAGCAAAAATTGCTATATTTATGTGTACTTAAAGGATCACTATAGGGTCAGGAACACAAACATGTATTCCTGACCCCATAGTGTTTAATCCACCATCTAGCCCCCCTATTAAAGTATAAAACTCACCTTATTTGCCCTTTATGACATCATCGAAATGGCAGATTTTTAGCCATAGGGAAAGCATTGGATTGGCTAAAATCGGCACGGGGGTGTGGCCAAATGCCATTTTGGCCAATCAGGTCCTCCTCATACAGATGCATTGAATCAATGCATCTCTATGAGGAAAATTCAGCGTCTCCATGCAGAGTGTGGGGACACTGAATGGCAGTGCTGCCTACTGTGCAGCACTGAGCCAGGAAGCATCTAAGGAGTGGCCACTTGGAGGTGTCCCTGGTGGCAATGTAAACACTGCTTTTTCTCGGAAGAGCATAGCAATCCCTTGTAGCAGATTCTCCCCAATAAGAGACAGGACTCTAGATTGAGTCGAAGTAGAACTGGTTTAATGAGCACAAAGGCATTTCTTATATACAGTTTTCCCCAAAAGGTTACCACCTACGTGTACCTTGTGGAGCACAGGACACAAAGTCAAAACAGCCAATCAACACAGTATTGTAGAGTTAGACACTCCCAGCTAATGTACACAAATCCTCCCCTCTGCCTGTGATACAAATACCAAACACAATGGACTAAATCAATTACCACAGGCAGAAAATATCCAGTTTTACCCAAAGTCCAGAAACACCCCAAATCAACAACATATCCCCACAAATCCTACATCCCTGATGAACAACATATCCAAAAATCACCCAGATCAGAGCAGGGGTTCAAAAGTTTTATGGAAGTCACATTTGACCGACCGCAAGCATGGCTTTCATGCCCAAAACAGATTTAGGCTGTGCGGCTGGTCTATCTTCTCCTCTATCCTCCAGATAATTGGCTGAAATGGCTGTGGTAACTTAATTATCTCCAGGTACAGGAAATAAAGTCAAAACTATTACAAAAATCACATAAAAATACATAACTCTTATAACACAATGTTTAACCTATATGTCCAACATAACCCCAGATAGCTTGGATGTGAGCGCTCAATATGTCCAATGTTAAAAGTGCCCTATAGTACAGGGAAGGGTGGGGTCAGAAAATAGCAAGGGCTGATGGGAGATTGAGGAGGGACTAGGCAGCTAGTTTAAACTGGACTGGCAGTGTCCCTGGGACAACGCCCTGCTGGAGAAACAATAGGACAGGAAAAAGGGGGAGGGGAAGAGGCACATTTTCCCATGGAAGTCACTTTTTAGCCTGTCTTTTTGCAGGGCCCATAGTCTTGATGCAGGAGGCTGGCAAGTAGTCCCCCACAAAAACTCATGGCAAACTCCCTAAAAATGTGGAGTTTGTCACAGCAGTGTTTGCATAAAATTGCCTGAAGGGAGCTATTATACTCACCAGAACAACTACATTAAGCTGTAGTTGTTCTGGTGACTATAGTGTTCCTTTAAGCAATGTGGGGCCCGAAACTCCCAGAGCAGGCCCCATGACAACCGTCATGGTGTCATATCCTGAT